TCATTCTGGTTTGCGGCTGTTTTCACCTTATAAACATGTAACCCAGCATGCTTCATGGTTTTCTGCACAAACCCGACTGCAAACTTGGACTTTTTTAGCGACATCTCAAATTGACATGTTTGGACGGTTCTTGAACTGTTGCACCACTTTTCTGATCATTTGACTGTCCTTTGGACCACTTTTACGACCACTCCCTTCCTTCCTTCGGGCACTCAGACGCGCTTTGAAGGTTCTTATCACACGAGACCTGTGTCTCGCATTTGCAATTCCAAGCTTTTTAGCGATCCATCTGTGGGGCGCCTCTGGGTTTTGATTGTAAGTGCAAAAAAATCTTTCACGGACCATTTCTTGTTTTGACGACCTGACTGGAACTACTGTATAAAAAACTTTAAAACTTGATAGGAGTTAGCAATACACTATGAATAAGATTTACTCAAATTTTCAGGTTTTTTACTCATACGGTTCAAAAGTTACAGAAGATTTTCGGTGAGCCATTTTTATTGAATACACCCTTTACAGGATCCAAAATGGTCGAGTTTTTGCTAAAACGTGAATGACTGCCCATAACAAGCAATTATGCATTGATTCATGAAAACCGGAGAAGTTCGAGCCTAAACATTTATTTATTTTGCCTGGAATCGCTCTATAATAAAGTTGGAGATAACTAGTTTTACACATTAAGTATAAACGATAGTCCTTGTTGGTTATCTGTGTCATTACAGGTGATCTGGCAATAACGGAGTAGCAACCACGGGCGGTCATGCTCAGGTCCTATGCTTCCTACAGACAAACCACTGAAATAAAATAAATTTATAAAACACAGATTCTATTCATAGCCTTAATCCAGAGCTAATTAACTTGAAATAATTTTTGGAGGCAATAATATTTCAAAAGTCATAGAATGATTTTGAAAAAATATCACTACTAAGTTCTTGAGGTAATTTAATACTTGTAATTAACGATAAAATTGCTGATAAAACCTAAATTGCCATAGATTTATATGAACTGGAACAATAAGTACATTTATATTGATGAAAATAATCATCTAGGCCCACCTGACCAGTACGGGACGAGCTGTCAATTTGTTAGCTATTTGCCGATCAATTGAACTGCAATGATAACATAATTTATTTCTCGAGATTGAAAGCCTCGAGGTATTAAAAAACTCTGACAGATCTGTAGAAACACAGATTAATGTGACACACCACACCACACGGCCTTTCTTGTTGAAAAGAGCAACCGCGTCTGCGACATAATCCTATTCTTCATAAGAATTGAGTAAACCTAAACGTGTTGAATTTAAAAGGAATTGCTTCAAAAATTTCGAATTTTAATTATTTTGCGTGATTTTAGTTCATTTCACAGATTTTAGCTACTTCTATTGTGTTTAGCTACGGCATATAATTAGTATTCACGTAAAGACTATAATTGTTTTTGTTCCTGAATTTTCATGTAATTTTAGCTTTAAAAGCATGAATTTTGACTCAAGTTAGCCACTTCCCAGGATGTATCCAGAACTTGACTGAAAGTGAACAATGTGGTACTGAGCATCATTGAGAATATTTACGAATTAAAATGTGATTTTATGAGTTTTGGACCAAGTCAGAAACTGGTCATATCGCTGAGAGTACCCGTATCTTGCCTGGAAGTGGGAAATGTGGTACTGTTCCCTTTATTTTGCTAAAAGTAGTCTTGTTTTTTAATTATAATGTGATTTGATGTGTCGCATGGTGGGTTTTGGATCAAGCCAGAAATTGGCCTTCTCCTTGGGTGCATCCAGAACATGCCCGCAAGTGGCCAATGAGGTCCTGCGCACTTCATTTGATTGAATTTGATCTTGTTTAAGAATTGTAATGTAATTTGATATGTGGCATTATGGGTTTTGGTCCAAATCAGAAACTAGTTCCCTGCAGGTGCCTGTAACATGAACAGAAGAAGTCCCTGGACAATCCATTTGATTGAAATTGATCTTGTTTTTCATAAAAAAAAATGGCCTCTTCCGTGGGGGAATTCGGAACATGCCCTTGGCCACTTCCGGTGCTGAACACTTTATTGACTAAAAATGCTCGGTGCTCCAACTCAATCTCAGTAATTCAACCCATATTCACTGAAACATGTTCCGGTTATATCTCCGGAACCGGTAGACCGGTTCCAATAATGTTTCCACAATTGCAACAATTACAATGTGCTCAGCAGAAGAGTTGATGTAGCTTGGAAAATTTCACATAAGAACATATAGCAAACTTCTCCGTCGTGGCTAAGCGCTACGACGATCAGCAGTGTTGTAAAAATATCAAAGGACCAAATCTCACCAATGGACATACCCTCATTTGATTATCGTACACAAAAATCAACAAGCAAACAACAAGCTGTGATGCGGTAGCACTGATATAAAATATAGAATAGTGTATCTGTGGTCATGTACCAGTGCACTAGAAACCGAACAGATACAGTTAGACGAAACAAAAGACAAAAAACGACAAAATTATTTCCTCCCTGAAGAAGACCCCTGTGTCGAAACCTCGAGTAAATAAAAACTCGTTTTATTAGCCGTAGCGTAGCCGTTTCAATGCAATATAACACGATTTAGTCAATCTTTCAGTTTATTAGGGTAACTGTTTTTTATGAAAAAAAAAATGATGCGTAAAATCCAGATTTGGTGTAGCTTTGCTCATAAATGAGAAATTTTAACGTGATTTAAAATTTATTAAAATCGAAAGACAATTTAAAAAAATATTTTTAAGCATCTTACAATCTAACACTATGCACCAGAATTAATGGTAAAACTTCAGCATTCTTCACAAAACCAATTTAAAAATCGTAGGAGGGTCTTTCGAGAAAATTAACAATTTAACTTTTAAATATGATTTTGCATTGATTCTTCCCTGAGTTTTTTTTTTAGGATAGACCATAATATTAGGAATAATGTAAACATATAAACAAAAACAAAAAGTTATTCGTCTAGCGGTGATATGATGTAAATTTCGGTGTACAATTCCTAACGTTGTAAAGCAGGAAAACAGTAAAATGCTTGCAACATAGAAACTGGACAACTGGTGTTGAAATTAGTAGTCAAACTATGTTTATACGTTTGCTGGTAGAGGCATTTTTGTAAATAGTTTACCATCGGGGCAATTCGTAGGAAATTAATTTTAATAAACGAGTTTACTTACTCCTATAGATCCCTAGAAACATATGTCCATAATATATCCACCGGTACAGCTAATGATCTTGTTCGTGAATGCTAATGAGGTTTGATGTGTCCCATTATGAATATCGGCACATATTATTTGTTGCCCACTTTCCCCATGGTACCAAGACCATCCGGAAGATATCCGTATGAGGATATGGTATGATCTATATCCGTATGATATATCCGTATGAGGATAAATGCTTTATCTATTGACGGAAATACAAATTAAAGTGTTCGTCTTACCCCGATTTATCTTACCTACAACATCTTTTCTTACTCATTTTGAACAAATATACCGTTTTGAAGTTATGATTTAAAAAATAAATAAAACCCATTATTTTCATTCGCATCCCGGGTAACAACCAAACTACATTGTATCTCAAAATGAGCGTACAGATGGCCTTAAATTTTAGAAAAAAAGCTATAAAAGCCCAATTTAAAGAGATACGTTTCTGAATTTTTCGTTGCTGAATCACATTTATCAATTATTGGTACATTATTGGGCTTATTTGGTTAGAGGTGTTTGAGGAAAAAGCTTTTTTTCTTGAAATACCTTCATATCTTAAAATAAGTTAAGTTAAGTTTTATATATTATGGAGGCTTACAGCCTGAGGCTGGTTTTCCTCCGAATCTTAAAATGCAACGAACTAAACTTCTTAACATTTTGTTCATTTTTAGTCACAATTTTCACACTGCCGTACTCTAACGGAACGATCCACTCTATACTTTCATCTCCTCATATATCGTATAAAAATTACCACTTTAGTCTGTCATTTGAAATTAGCATCTTCAACTAAATAAATATCTGTGTAACCACCATCCAAGATTTAAAAAAATATATCTATTTACAATGCTTTAAAAAAAATCGCACTATTTTACTATACACTTTCATTCAAATCTGAAAGGGTCAGGACAAAAGTCATATTATTTTTCCGGTTTGAACTGGAAAGACTCTGTTGCCTACAATTATGTTCAATCAAAAAGTAAATTTCAACAAAGTTGTAACTGACAAAATTTCACATAAGATGGAAAACTAGTACTAGGATGATGTGTACATAACGGTAACGTTTCCCATAGTAATCCCAATATAAAATTCAAAGGACCCGTCCAGTACGAGTTCACATCCAAATGAGCGCAAATTTTGGGGGAATGATCAGGACCTGATTTGGAATCAATTGAGTGGGGTATAGCGAAATTTATTTTTTGAACCACCCTCATACCCTTCTTTGTAAGAATGGTAAAAATAGTAGAGATGCTTCCAAACATTGTGATGGATGCTTCCAAACATTGGGTTGGATGCTTCCAAGCATTGTGTTGATCTAAAAAGAAAGTTGAAAATTATAGCTTCAGCTTTTCTTTACAATGCCAAAAGTGTATTTAAAAAGATTAAACAATAAAAATTGTGAACTCTCTTTATTTTGCAAATGGTATGGCATATGGTGATGAAAAATAAAAGGAAGAATGAAAATAACAGAACCGTAATATGAAAAAGAATGCAAAAAGTTACCATTGAATTCAAAAATACTGCGCATGAAAAACTTCGTGAAACGTACGTAAATTAATGATATCAACTGCTCAGGTAAATAAAACATTATTATTAAATTATTATTTTTTTAATTTTTGAAACCAACTTTTATCGTGCACACCACCCAGTGATGTGTTCGTTTCATCCAGTTTTTCGCTAGCTCAACACTACCGCACTCAAAGAATCGGGGAAGGTGTAAAACGTATGAAAATGAAAGGGTTACCCAAAAAGAACAATAATGGATAGGGGAGAGGTAAAAAACACACGCAGAAAACCACTTGCCTGCACTTGCCAACTGCTGATTACTACACTTATTGCTTTCGGATTCTGCTTCCGGTTCTACAAAGTTGTCCGGCCGAGGCAGAGGCCAGGTATTGGAACGAGCACGTGTCTGTGGCTCAAACGTTCCGTCCTGTAGCTCGGCGAGGGCATCCATTGGAACGCCATCGTTGGACAGACCTTCAAGGCCGCCGCGTGGCGATGCCGGCCAGGGTGAACCAAATGAATCCATCTCCGAAGCCCGATCTGCCGTTCCTGAAGCTTTTGTTTACGATTTTATGCACGATTTTGCTTTTGCTCGTTACGATGTGAAATGTGAATTCCCGCACGTTAGACAATACCAACGTATTGCTATGTTTACTCACAATTCACTTGTGCCAATATTCTTGTCGCAGAACAATATTTTCGTACTCACTTTACGTCTTCAGCACACACACGCACGCACTCTTGCCTCTCAAACTCATCGGCACTCCTCCGAGAGGGCAAAAATACACTTGTTTTAATATTTTCAATTATTTTTATTATTTTTGCCTGACGTACGAGGGACTATTAGCTTCTGTTTACTTTTCACCGTTCACTGATTCTTAATCTGATAACATACTTCACTGGAAACAACAACTTCACTATTATCCGCACTACTTTCATTCAAAACAAGTTTTCTTTTCTACTAATCTGAAAATAACGAGAGCTTTGTTAAAACGGACGATGGATTATCATCAGATTCCAATCCATCACTGCGTCATTGTAGGCCGATGTTCGACGAGTACCCCGAAAAAGGAAGCCAGATACCTATGTACGTTCGGACTATCATGTTCATCGCGATCACTTCATGGTATCAAACGAGATAGGCGTGTGTAATGATCAATCGGGCGGGTATTGCGTTGCGCAATTTTTTAATTCGATTATCGCGTAGTGTAAGAATGTTTCATCTCACGCGCGCGACACATATTAGAATTTAAAGTCGTTTGCCCCTCAAATCACCACCAACTGAGCCAAATTGCTTTTTGGCATCACCACACCACTGTCCTGTTACTACTGGCTACTGATGATGGTTTCGATGACGACAAAATCTCCCTCGAAAAGATGATGCGATTTACACAAAGTGTATCACAGCTAAATATATTTTTTGTAAATAAACCATCGAGTAGAACGGCATTTTTTCGCCAAACTACTACTACAGGCAAGCTGCGCACAGGCTCAGATACGTGGGTACGGCAAGCGTGGTAAAGAGAGCTGTTTTTATTTACGTTCGCCAAAGTGGCTCCACATCGCTGCTCACTACTGTGCGCTGTGATGGTACAAATACACCGACAAATCCGGACCCACTACTATTGGGGCGACGGAGAACGGGTGATCGTAGCCGTTTGCCTTCCAGCAGCAGACGTTGGGTCGGTCGGTCGTCGGTCATTCAAGAAACCTGCTCTCGTAGGTACATATATGTAGGAAATGAGAGAGGTAGAGAAGGAACAATGTTTTGGTGAACTTAAGCAACGTGACTTAGCGCGATAGGGAGCAAAGTAGGATGGGGTTGTCTTACTGGGATACAGAATTCCCCGATTAGTACGCTTACTAACAGTTATTCCGCGCATAATGCGATGTTTTTTTATTATCTTGTGATACGTTTAAACTGTAGCTGATATAATTTAATATGGGCTATCTTGATATGAGTACCCATTAGGGTGGTTCAAATTATTGATTTTGCTGTAATACCTAATATTCTTGACGATCAATCAAAAACATTAGTATTGAGCAACCCGTATAATTGGTTGATGACAGTTTAGACTATTGTATTGGTAAAGTGATCTTATTGTGACCACAATTATTGTTATTAATATTATAGGTATACAATACATTATATGTTTTAATCGAGATCAAATTGATTTTCTATGGTTAATATACTTAACAACCCCCTTTCAGTAAATCTCATTTACAATAGATTCTATTGTGCTCTACCATTATGGTGAAAGGCTAGAACGAGGTGGATAAAAAGTTCTATTTTCCCACAATAATTGCCTTATAAAATTCAAAAGTCCAGTGCAGTGTGACATCGAAACCGAATGAGCTAATCTTTTTTTACAGAATGATCAGGACCTGATTTGGAATCAATTGAGCTGGGTGGGGCAACATCCCTTGAACTGTCCTAGTACGCATACATACGTACGTCTTCTTCTACCCTTTTTTATTTTTTGTCTATTTTCTAACCAGCCAAGCTGATTTCATTCTAATTATTTAGTGATAACCAAAAATCAATGACCTAAACCTGTACTGCCTAACGTACGATCTACGACCTTGTTTTGTTCGACCCGTGGTGAGTTCGAAATAGTACACTGGAGTCGCTTTTTACGCGGGTGATACGTCCGCGTAAAAAAACCGTGTAAAAAAACCGCATAAAAAGCGACTCCAGTGTACTCATATCTGGTCCGCGAACTGTTCTACCGAGCTTATGAATCCCATGTTTTCGCTTTAATATGAAAAAGCATACACGACTAGAATGTAGAGAATAAGGATTTCGACACTTAATTTAACATTTCATTTTCTTTTTGACGCTGACATTCTAAACTAGGTTTAACAATAAAGAAATTGGCCCTAAGAATTAAAGATTCAAAATCCTGCTCATTTTTTAACATATTTCAAGTGTGCATTGTATTTCTATCTCTCCTAGATAAACATTTTTTACATTCGTAAAATTCCAGCCCCACTGCTGATTATTTTTATTGTTCTCAGTAACGGATTCTGGAATCAAATCATACATAATAATATGCATGCAACATTGCGACGTCAATTCAAGTCAATTGCACAATTCACTAAAATGATCTTTGTGCTAAGACACTACCGCAGCCATACAAAATTATATCCTTGATACCAAAAAATCATGTGAAATAGCTATAGTTTTAAATCAATAAAAAAAAACTATTGTTGTGGTCTTTGTTTGGTATGCAAATATCAGAAACTGGTATTTGGCATACCAATTTTTGGAATTATTCCTTGATATTTTACGTCTTATCTCAAGATAATACATATCAAATTAAAATATCTTAGTCAAGTTTCTAGCCAGGTAAATATCTTTGGCGATTCAATTTTATAAAAAGCGAAGGCCTTAATAATCGCCAAATTCAAATGATGTTTGAATGTTGTTGATGAAAATGGAATCCTAATACATGGCGATTTGGTGTATTACAGTAACGTTGACTTAGTCGTGGTGTTATGCTGGAGATATTTTATTCGATTCAAATGCAAATTGCTTGAGATGGGGAATTTTCATCCGAAATCATCAATCATACATATAGGTTTCCCGAGAAAAGTCGTGTAACAAAATGAAAGCAAATCGATATTAATGTTTGCAGTTCCTATCATAATGAAAACTCGTTTTGATTTCAACTGTCGCTACATAAGTCTGATATCTTATTGAGCATTCATAATGTCGTAAAGTTTTTTAAATGAAAGCAATTTAGCTTTAAGTTCTGCTGTTAACGTTTTGTTTAAAATTTACTTTACGTCCACCTGTTGTTGAACTAACGATTATTGTTTATTTGCTTTGTTTAACACATTTTGGGTCAATTCGTGACTTGCTCGGGGTGAGATTTGAGCTCAAGTCTTTCAGCATGAGATGAATGGATGCTAACCATTTACGCCAGGCCCGTATTCAGGAAAACATTATGATTGGGAAATCAGTTATCAAATTGATTTAATTGAAAGCAGTATTAGTTTTCTGTTTGATTCAACAGTGCATAATTTTGCTTTCATTTTTGCTGTGTTAACTGTTAAGTCAACCAAAATGAGATCACTTGAGTATTCAAAATAATTTACATCGTAACAGCAAATTTTGATTTTAAATTTGATCTCCAGCTTTGCTCGGGTTGTGACTTAGTCATTCTGATAGACATCATAAAACACCTCAATGTTTTCAATACGAAACCGCATAGCTAATTTGAGCAGGTCGGATTACTATTATCACTCATTAAAGCTTTCGAAAAAAAACTGACGCTATGTAGCACCCAAATAGCCACTGGTAGCTTGATACCCTTTTATCATCTTGCTGAAAATAGTCCATTGCACTTGCCGAACACATGATACTTCCTTCTTTACAAAAAAATGTTTACTGGCATAGCCAAGAAAATCTAAAGCATTATTTTCAGTGCAGAAGTCTACTTTGGTGTCAAATACTCAATAATATAAAAACACTTTAAAAATCATGATTCCTTCCAATTTAAAGAATCAGAGAAATTCTAAATTAGTAATGTTTATAAACCACAATATCATGCTACAATGAGCTGAAGCTTTCTATTGCATAATGTACGTAGAAGAAACAAATAGTAATGTGATTTTCTCCTCCTGAAATAAAGATAAGGACACAATCAGTGTTCTGAAAATCATTCTCAAAACTTTTTTATTTAGGCATCATGAGAAAATAAACTTGTGTGCTGTTCTACAAAACAAATTTCACGCTTGAGATTCTTATAAATTTCCACGCACTTATACCAGCCCGTGTAACGTCAAAAAGTGCTGAAACATTCAGAGAGTGGTTATCACACCAAAATACAGGCTGGATGTTGGCCTGTGGAAAATATGATTTTTATTTTTTTTATTTTTAGTGGTTATCTAGTTGATACGTTGCATAAGCTGCCTGTATTTTGTTGCAATATACAAGCAGAATGGACATAATTAATTAATATCTCCAAAATACTAACTTGAATCGTAATGCTGTCTTCAGAAAAGCTGTTCCTTATTATTTAAGCGTGTGCTGAAATTCTCAGCTTAATCGAGTTTGCTGAATCAGTTCTATGCACGAAAGAGTGAAGTAATGTTATTTCTCCATACATTTCAACCAATATCCCCATATAAGTTTTAAATCAAAAGCGCCAGCTCGTGTTACATCCTAATGAGCTGAAATGTTCAGAGAGTGGTTTTCTCACCTAATGTCACAAATCTAGGGGTTGAGCTGTTAAAAAAATGATAAAAATGCACCCCATGTAAATGTGGGCCAGTCTAATACTTATAAAAACCGCCCAAACATCCATTGCTTATCCATGTTGTATTAGTTTTCCATCAAATAATGCAAAAACAAGATCGATAAACATCGCCAAAATATGCATACGCCTATTAATTTCCACCAGTGTATGTATAGGTAGCTAAATAAACAGAGCTCACTACTCTATGTGGAGGACGCTGTATTAGAATGAAAAATTGCTTATGAATACATGTAGAAGCACGTTGCATAAGACATTTAAACTAATGACATCCCAGTTTAGAAGCTCTTATGGTTCTACATTCAAGCAGGAAATATAAGAATGTCTTTGTTATGTTTCACCACATGAACATATTATATAATGTGGTCGTCGGAAGGTTTTAAAATTATTTTGCAATTTTATGGTAGTTGAATTTTCGAACAAAGTTTGTTTCGTCCAATGCTTTGTGCTTAGAAAAGCATAACGAACATATTAATTTTGGAAAACATGATTGTACGCAACAGTCCATTGTTAGTACTGCGAGTAGTTTTCATTTAAGAAACATGTACAGCGTATGCCATGCAGTGCTGAGATTTGTCATTGTCATTGACAGACTTTTGCGCGATATTGACAAAATTGTGTTTCACATAGTCAATGATAGACTTGATCCTCAAAAAAATCTTTGTCAAAATCTCATTCATTTTTTCGTCAATGACAAAGATTCACCTGGTAACAGAAAGTGTAATTTCTTGCGTTCTGAAACACATTATTGTTATCCAAGTGGTTCAGGACGTAGATGCTTATTCACTTTAATGGCTCCATGTAATTGTTTTGCTCAAGCCATTTAATTTCATTTCAAATTTAGGTAATAAACAAATCAGCACATGTTCGTCACTGACAAAAATGTTACTGACAATTGACATGGTTTGCCTTGACGATGACTGTTAGCTCAAACGAGTGACCAAAGCAGAATTTTGAGTATCACCGTGTATTGTCGAAATTTTGCAGCACTGATGCCATGTTCTATGTTAAACATTTATTCTGGAGGTTAAAATAGTGGAAATCAAAATAAAGCACACATCTTAAAGGACAAGAGTTGATAAAATCTCACACGAGATGTGAAGTATAACTCTGGTCTTTTTTTTAAACGGGGCTATGCAAACGTGTAAGAAAAGCAACCAACATTGGGTTCTTCACAGGCTATAATATGTATAAAGTTGTAGGTTATGAAAGCATTCGTAATTTTAGTAAGGTCCAAATACACCTTTTTTAAATATCTGAGTGTACACCTAAAATAATGATTTTTATTAAATTTTTTTTGGCTTTATTTGTTTCCCTACTACAATTTTACACCGGCCTTTACCTTCGTGTCCTTTTTCCACTTCCACAGTTGTTAATTGAGAGCTTTTTTAGCCTGTACCATTTTTGAATTAGTATAATTGTTTGGCAAGTAAAATCATATTTAATGTTCAGGGAATTCGAGAAAATTTCCAACAATTTGCTATAAATCTTTACGGAATGAGCTAAGGGAGGCCCCACATTTAAGTACTCCATTTGATTACCTATAATTTAAAACGGAAAACGTGATTGGAATTGGATTGTTAAGTTGTGTCTGTTTCGAGAAATCATTTAAAATGTACAGTCTGAATTGGAACTGAATGGCGTTTGCTACGCGAACAAAATTGTTTAAAAAATACTTCAGTGTACCATGTCCTGAGTGGTGAACCAGAACACCGAAGCTGAGTCTGAGTTAAGCTGAAATCTCATGCCAGATTCTTATTATTTTCATATGAATTCAGATAGGAACTTCAAAAATTGAAGAGCTGTGTTTTTTTTTGCGAATGTAAACAGTTGAGATATATTAATCCTTTCCATTCCATTCTGCATAGCCGGGATACGAAAAATATATAGTCGAGGGGCGTGTGTTTGGTTGTTTGATGATAATTCATCAGACTGAATGTCACTAGGGTTAAATCATAGCGGAGTGTCTAAAGGTCGAATGCGTCACTAGGTCGAATGGATCAAAAGCAAAACTTGAATAATCTTAAATACTGTATTGGAACAATACCGTTATCGAATATAGGTACGTTTTCCGCAATATGAGTGAAAATTTAGTTTTGCATAAAACTTTTGAGTGTCAAAATTTGAGCCTTTTTCATTTTATTTTTTTAGAATTCTTGATGTTTTTTATAATTCATGAATTTGTCAAGGTTCACATGTGGTAGCTTTGCGGAGTCGTAAATTAATGTAAAATAATCAATACTTCTTAGATCTGAAATAAGTACAATGGAGCTCGAATATTCGTGGCTTATTCGAGGAGACTAATAAAAAGGTATCGGGAGGTGAAAATATCGTTTTAATATACGTCGCCGTTGTTTACTGCATTCAACGAATAACCGTTCAATTAATCACATAGTCGATCAGTTTTGGGACGTCGTTCTACTCTGGGCTGCGGAGTCGGCGAAAAATATTCCAACTCCGACTCTGACTCCTCAAAAATACCGTTCTGAATTATATCCTGAAAAACCTATACACCTTTATTATACGAACTTTTTAGAATATATCATACTTGTTCCTTTAGGGTCACCCCTCGATTTTTAAAGGAATCTATAGGTTTTTATAGATATTTAAACATAAATACATATTTAAATAGTGTCCGGAATATTAATCAGAACGCCAACTCCGCCTCCGACTTCCACCAGAGTATAGTACATTTCATGCGGAAAAAATTACATAGTGTTAGAAATAAAAATAATTGAACTAACTTTTCAAGTGACCTTTGTCTTATTCTAGTATAGTCGAGCAATGAAATGACATCACATTTGAACACCCCAAAATTTAAAATTATTGCCAATTATGGATAAGTGATCACATACTATCAAGACTAACTCAATTAGCTATCCACCAATTTTTGATTGTTATACACAAAGTTAGAAGTTTTGAAATACATACACATTTATGGTGATTTTACTGAAATTCATTGATATTTAAATAATCAAATTAGATTTTTATTCTAAAAAAACAAGTAATTTATTTTTCAATTTAAGACGCCATTAAGGTAACTAAAACACGATACTCCCTCTCGCCATTATACCCCTTGTTATCCATGCAATTTTGAGGCTTTGTTCACAAGTCGGACATCATATACACCCAATTGAAGCAATTATCAAGCAAATCTTAACGAATTTCAGTAAAATCACCATTAATGAGTATATTTTTTCAAACGCAATGACTTTTTGTTCTCCAAAACCATATAAACTGATTAAACCGATACACATGAACAACAGGACATGAAAATGCGCATGAGAAATGTTCACGAAATATATTCTGGCTGCCGACGGGATTTCACCCACAGATACCACACGATCGCAATAACAATTATACTACGGGTACCGATAAGGCACACGCAATATTTGGGTAGTGTAAGGCTTCAAAGGAAATAACTGTAAAGGAACTTTATACTTGTTTCTGATTTAAGGTTGGAGACGGATTCAAATATCAATAATTAAGAAATTTAAAAAGTACAAAAGTTCAACAACCGTTGCTCACGAATCACGTTAATCACGAATTTCTAAATTTATTAATTTTCAATCGATTCAATTTCACATTGCCAAATATTAAGTTTTTGAGAAGCGCCACGGAGCACTAGTAAAGGCTTTGTGGAGCACGATTTGTAAATCCCTGGCTTGCCGGATGAAGCCCTATTATACATATTTAAATTTAGAATGAAGAAACTTCAACTAAATTTAATTTGTTGATGCTCATACATCTGGCAATATCGAATAAATTAATACGTCATGTAACATAATTACTTAGTCCTGATATTGTATAACTAATTTTATTGTAATAAATAGTAGTTCTCGAAACAATTGCTCCAAACATAAGTTGTAATGTAATTTTAGTCCGTGAAGTATTGATTTAAGAGTATCATTGTGTTCAACCTTAATACTTATGATCTAGGAAAAGGAGTTGGGGTCGGCATAATTTCACCCTCTCCGACTTTGGCTCTTCAGTTCGTGAAATTTCTTCCGTATCCACAGCCCTGCAAAGCAGATTGATGAAATATGTTGATAGGGATGGATGAAAATAATTATCATAGAAACAATTAATGGAGTCATCTTGCCAAATCAATTCAATTTAAGAAAAGTTTTTTTTTTTCATTTAAATTAAATTTGATCACCAACAAAACTGTTCATTACCTTGTTCGGTAAAATTTACCGATAACGAAAACAAAATCTTAGTGTGCAGATCTTAATCAAATTCGTTCAAATACAGACCGAACGAGTAGTGGGGAGCAGGGGGTTGTTAAGTTGACCCACTCGAATGATCCTTAAACATTATTTTATGTAAAGTTTCTTAAGCGGTTTCTGTCTTGTTAAAATATGGTAATTTTTCTATTGTTCTGGTGATTTGGCACCAGAAGTTAAGTTTTTAATTTGGTTGAAAACATACTAGACAAATGGCAGCTTTGTCTATAGCTTAACCCATTATCATAAAGAGGGTTTTAAATCAATATCCATCGATAACGTCATCTTTATCGTCTGCAATGGTGAATTTGCATTGCAGAACTTAACGCAGAGATTATAGACGATAATCAATTAACAATCCTAGGACTGAAAAATACTCTAACAATGTTTATAAAAAATAACCGTCATTGGATCCTTTAGTGCACAAACCTTGCATGAAGAAGCATCATGTATCAGTGCATCGTTTAACAAAAAATCACCGCTCAAATACTGTTCTTAGATTTGTGAAGTGTTTGTATAATATGTTGAATTAAATATATGTTGGCGCACTAATTCATAGCAGCCAAGAATTCCGCAAAGTTTGAATGATTTTGGGTCCCTACGTATCCTCAATACTTTACAATTTTAAATCTAGAGATCCGTGTTGAGAAAATATCAAAAAACTAAAACGCATCAATGTGTGATAAAGCATGATCCAGTTCGTATCATGGGAATCATATTAATCAAACATCCTAAAAAATATTCTGCATGACCTGATAAATTAAAAAAAAAGTCATAAATTATATTACTATTTAATATCCAGTTTTGGCTCACACAATCCACTGTTTGGCAATTTTATTTCAAATCTAGTTGGATAAAATCGAAAGCATCAAATCGCTTTCAATGTAATTGTATTTCTTCACTGAATTGGCCTCCAGTTTTGAACGAATTACCTATTTTTGTGCATTCTATACGATGATTTGTACATCAGAAAATCACTTGAAAGACTAAACATTTGAAAATCGTCCGTTTACTTCTTTTGGCTTATTAAGATTTTCTACTTGTTTGCATTTTTTCTTTAAAACACCATAAATAAAATAAAGAACATGTGTCATTTCCGTCTGCTTATGTTTTAAATGACCTTGTGATAAATGTTCATTTTTGTCATCGTCGATTGTTTTTGTTTTGTGTGCAGCTTATCAAATCATAGTTAAAACAAAAATGTACATGGTGGAATAATCTAATCTATAGAGAATTCATGAGCATCGTTTTGAAAAACAGTTGAAACTCTGACTTTAGATTCAAAATGTTCTATAGCCGGCGGTCTTCTACTGTCGATCATCTGATACTTGCAAAACCTTTTTCTCAACACGCTTAGCTGGATATTACCTAGCAAATATACACTAGAACCAGTTCAAACCAGACGCGGTCAACCTAACCAGGTATGTTGTTCCCACCCCAGCAATCGCACATCGGCGCCCAAACTCGTTCAATTTAAATGCACTACGCTTTGGCAGCAGCAGCAACAACTACATCAACAACAACAACATCAACAACGGCATCAGGAGCAGCTGTGATGTAGCCAAAGCTAAGCTCAGTAGTTTTCTATTCACATTTTTTAGAATTCTCGTTACTGCTCAGAATACTCAAGTAGCCAGAGGAGTTAGTTTCCTCGGTTTTGAATAGTTCAAATTATAATATCAAATAAATGTCTCGAACGTTCAAATTATTCAGATCCCCGCTCTTGCTGTCTGTCTCTTGATCTCTGGCCGTGTTGGTGTGCACCGCTATGGCAGTCATAGTGGGACACACGGGAGGTTGGCGGATGAGGAATCTGATGAAAATTAATTCACTTGCTCATGTGGTGGTGATTGCGCGCTATCTCTACTTCGGTGGATCGTCACTTAAAAGGCTCTCCTGCAATATTGACCAGCTCGTGGCGATACTATTGCGGCCTGAGTGTAACAGATTTCTACTCCGTTATCTCTTAACAGCAACAATAACAACAGCAACAACAAGGCATGGCGAGACGAGAATTGTGTCGGATCACGTAAAGACCCTCGAGGGGAGGCCTTTGGGTCAACACAAGATTGTCATTCTGGGGAGCACATGCGAACGTATTGCGTATTATTTCTCCCGTAGACATTAGCGGGCTCTCGCCTACAACCGGTACACATATTTCGATATCCTCTATGAACGCAAGCATCGGAATGGAACACTGATAATAAATGCTATGGATAACAAACACACCGAAAAATAAACGACTTATCGACACATGTATTATCATCGAGCTGTCTGATTGTCGATGTTTCTTTTCGGTACATTGGATTCACTCGGTTGGCACTTTTGCTTCGGAAAGTAATTATTTCAGGACGGTAGGAAACGTCGCACATATAAAAAAACGCAAAAGACGGGTTTAGTTTGCGTGTGGACATTTTTCACCCAAACACAACACTACGACTTACGCTAAATTTTACGCAAACACTGTATTTTTCGCATTCGCGGCGCTTAAGTAACATGACTTAAAAACAACACATAGGCACACGAATGGCGAAAACACCAACACATGGACAGCGAATCATCGCACGAGTTTGTCTTCTTTTTGTTATTAATTTTCTGCCACTGAGAATGTGTACTATCATTCCACTTCGTTTTTTCCTTCAGGTTGGCATTTGATATTTCGAACGGAAAAAATATATCGCACAAATATGGTCAGCTAATTCAACAATTAGCATGGAAGAACTTTAGTGTACGATTCGATTGGTAGCACACTCGGGGTGATCTATCTGCATGCTTTCGAGCGATTCCTTCGCGATCACGACAGGAGTTAAAATTAAAAAGAAACGAACTCGAACCGATCCTCGCAATAAACACACAAAACTGAAGTTGTATACTTTTCTCCCTAAAAATGTGGCGCGACCTCGTGGCGATCATAGGAAACCATGCGATATAGTCCCCAACGTAAGAGATGCTTACGAGCCGGATGTGGGCATACTACTAAACAGTGGATGCGAATCCAATTTCGCTCAATGCTCGTGTCCAAATCTCGTCACTTTCCGTCGCGTCGTTTCAGCTGTTGCTGTGTGGTCATATGGAAGATTCCTCTCCGCGATTCTTGGGGGACGCTCTCGGTGTGCTCACGCTCTCTCTCACGCTGTGCTTTTGTATTCTTCTCCTGATTTCCTTTTAGTAGTAGGCCCACATTCCCTAACGCCGACCACCGAATGCCGTAGACAACGTTGGAGCACCGATAGCTCCCATACAGCACTATCAATGCGCGTGAACACAAATTCGACTTCTCATGTGGCTGCTACTGCTACGGCGATTTCTCCTTGCCACGCTGTTATCGACACTGATAAACGTGAATACACTTTTCCTCCCAACCACCCACCTGTTTCAGCGGCTCTGCTCTTGTATCATCATCAGACGATATGTAAGCATCAGCGTGGAGCTCTTCCCCCTTTTTTCGCTCTCACCGTGGTGCGCTCTCAAGACCGAGACCATCTTTCTCCCGCGTCGCTTCGTTTGAGTACATGTGACCGAGTGCTGTGTGTACAAACATCACACGTTGATTGTTGGGGGGCTCCTCAAGACGGAAACTAACACGATGACGTTGAAAGTATACTACGACGATTCACAAGCACGAACTGTAAAAGCCCATACACACATGCAGATAAGTACGGTATCATCCTCTCGAGTAAAAACTATCATCAAATCGCATTATCATTTCGCCGACCTTGGTAATTGTCACTTGGATTTGTACATGTATGTAACCGTGGCAGTCAATGAGGGGGACTGAATGGGTGGAATTTAGTCGGTCGAGACTATTTTATATAGGAAAACGACCTTTTCGGACTTCTGACACATAATCAAATGAAGCTTGAAACAGAAAATGTAAAAAAAAAACAAGAATCGCAATCAGTTTTGTTTTTTTGTAGTTGATAATCCAGCTATCATATTTGATTCGGAATTTCAAATGGGACATAAACGGTATCACCAAAATCATCAAACAGGCTTTTTTATTCCACTATTTTATTAATAGTTCTTGATTACAAAATTGCTAGCACTTAATTTGTTTTCAACGGATTTCAGTTGATGCTAGTTAAAATAAATGTTAATGTTGGCTTCAATTTTAAAATTTTAAATAATGTAGTGGGCTTAAGCACTGAATAGGGTCCCTTACCTCACTACATATTGAAATAATTCAAAATTAAAACAAAATAAATACTCTATATTTTTTTATGTAAGTAGATCTAAATCCTGATCGATTAAAAGTTGTTTCATTAAAATCTGGAGAGAACCGGCGACTTGGAACCATTTTTAACTATTTAGGTCGAAAACGTGAACAATAAATAAATCTTTATTCCACAAATTACAACAAAAAAATTACGAAACAATTTTCCCATACATTGTCATGGAAAAAATAAAGATTAAAAAACAAAAAACGACCTTACGATTTGATTATTTATTTATTTATTTATTCTATACGTTACTCTTTTCAGAAATCTTATAGAAAATCTAAATTTTTGGGATTTTCTTTTATCATTACCAATATTTTTAGAAAAATCAAAACGTGCCTAATGAAAATTTAAATTTACTAAGCGGTAAACTTCGTTTTCAAAGGGCGAAACTTGGTTTAAATTTAAGCAATTGATAGTGTTGGATCACTAACGGTAAGCGTGATTACCTCTCACCCCAGTAGGCCTGGGTTCAATCCCAGTCGGTGCCGCCGGGATGTTCTGAGGCATAACATCTCTGATCACGCCTTCCTTCGGGAAGTAAAGCCGTTGTGGGTGTGGGAGCTGCTTCCCTGGCGTCGGTAGCATTGGTGATCAGCACGGAAAACAAGATCGACGGAAAACAACCCAAAGGAAAAAAAAACCTGTCTACGTGTAGAAACATTAAGTCCCATAAAGTCTTACTTACCTTACCAATCAGACTAAAGTGTTGATGTCCTCTGCTGCCCGAAAAAGTCGTCTCGACTCTACTCGATCCATGTCCACACGTCGCCAGCCTAGTAGTCTGCGAAGGGTCCGCAGATCGAACCACCTTGCCCACTGCGCGCCTCTTCTTCTTGTTTCTGTTGGGTCGCTTTTGAGAACCATTTTCACTGGGTCGGCTTCCGGCATTCTTATGACGAGCCCAGCACACTGTAGTCAACCAATTTTTGCAGAGTGGATGGCTCTCCCAGCAGCTGGTGCAATTTGTGGTTCATTTGCCTCCTCCACGTTCCGTCATCCATCTGCACTCCACCGTAGATGGTACGTAACACCTACCGTTCGAAAACACCACAAGCATAGTGCAAGTCTCGTGGGTGTAGAGGACCACCGGTCTAATCAGCATCTTGTAGATAGTCAACTTCGTGCACCGCCGAATTTTAATCGACCGGAGCATCCTTCGAAGTTCAAAGTACGCACGATTCTCTGCCATAATGCGTCTTTCAATATGCTTGCTGGTATCATTTTCGACAGTCACCAGTGAGCCCAAATACGTGAACTCGTCGACCACCTCAATTTCGTCACCGTCAATGTGAACTCGGGGTGAGAGGCTAACATTGTCGTCCCTAGAACCTCTTCTTCTCATGTATTTCGTCTTCGATGCGTTGATGGTAAGTCCAATCCACCTAGCTTCAGCCTTCCAGCCTGATGTACGTTTGATTTGATGTCGATGTCATCGGTGAAACCAAGAAGCTGGATGGAGAACTAAAGATCGTGCTGCTCGTGTCTATCCCAGCTCGTCTTATCAAACCTTCTAACGCGATGTTAAAAAGCAGACACGGAAGTCCATCACCTTGCCATAACTCTCTTCGAGTGTCCCCGATACTCGAACAACGCACATCACTCGATCCATCATCGCCTTCACCAACCTTAGCAGAACCTGCCGAATCGCAAAAATGTAGTCCGTGGTAACGCGGCCACAAATGAATTCCGCCTGGTATTGCCCCACGAACTCTCTTGCGGAGGCATAGCATTTGGGAGAGTACCTTGTAGGCAGCGCTCAGCAGTTCGTGCGGTAGTTGCCTGAAGCCAACTTTTCGCCCTCTTTTTAGATTGGGCATTCGGCACCTTCCATCCACTCATCAGGTTTTTATGTCATCATGGACTCATGGACTCATGGACGCTTAAAAAACTGACTTTCGATCCGAGGCCCCGAGGGCCGAGTTTCGTATACCAATCGACTCAGCTCGACAAGATCCGGAAATGTCTGTGTGTGTAACGAATTTTTAAATGAGGTTTTTCTGAGCAACCACTTAACTGAATTGAACGCCAACAACTGTCAAAAAATTGTGGTATCATAGAATATTTCACAATGTTTTTAGAATCGGCGGACAAAGGCGTGTTTCTCGGCAACCACTGATCCGAATTCAACGCAACAACTGTCAAATGAAAGGCTCAGAGAATGATGTTGAATAGTTCGCGAAACGATCATTTGGTTTGTGTGGCCTTTGAGACTACACCTGACCTGAAACAAATCGAACCCATCATGTGACACCTCAAATGAAGCGAGAATACAAAAACCAGTTCAATTGTAGTCATTTGAAGGGCTCAGGAGCACATCTCACATCTAGCTATGTTCCGAGAACTTCCGTGGAAGAGTAGCCAGTTTCTGACTAGGGTCAAAATCCATCAAATCAAATGAAAATTCATTTATTGCTCCACATCATATAAACAATTTCGGTGGAATTTCTATTAGTAAGGGTCAGATCACCATAGGTGGATTAATTCAGGCTTTTTCATGTAAATATATGTACATTTTGCATTAATCTAAGAAGAAATCTGATTTTCTAAAAAATTTCATTTATTTTTCCAATACTTTTAGAAAGCCGGTGTGCGGTGTGCATCCCGATAAGAAAAATTTTACGTTAACAACTACATGAATCGTCATCACGTTCTATATGCGTCTCATTAACCACAGTTAGAAAATATAGCATTGTGAAGATGGGTTGACATTTTCTAAATCCCTTAATCAATTGAAACTTGTTCAGAGGCAGAGGCATCACAATTCGATAAATAATATATATATATATATATATATATATATATATATATATATATATATATATATATATAGCTATATAAAATTTTGTTAAAAATATTGTTATTGCAAAAAAAATATCTATTGCAAAAGACCGATAGACAAAAGGTCAAAGAACAAATGGTCAAATAAACATTAGGGTGGTACATTTTGAAACAACCAATTATTAGGGTTTTCTCCGAGGCACGACGGCCATCGGCATCGAGGCATTATTAACGTTTTGCTACAAGATTATTTTTGATGCTTCAGTCTACAAACATTGCAGATTTATTAGTGCTTATTCAGACAAAACATTGCTTCTTCAGCTTAAAAATAGCTTATGCAGCTTTTAATCAGCTCAAACTGTAAGGTAATTAATTGAAATTAAAAAAGTAATGATACATACATCAAATTCTGATACCAGTGGTACACTGGGGCTGATACCATTATGAGTTCTTCATATTTTTCCTGGGATGCGACTTGAGTTTTGCTTCTGCTTTCTGCCGTGCCCGCAATTCCATTATTTCTTCTATTTGTATTTCCCATATCATCGTCATCCGTTGCTACTCCGTATGGTCAACAATTCAAAATTTAAAAAAGTAATACGCGTCATTCCGATGCTTGAAAACAGGTGGCTATTTCTGAGCATCGGTTGCTTCATCTCTTGCTTCCTCTCTACTATTCTTCGTGGCCTGCGACGACGTCACGTCCATTTACACCACCTCTTCTTCCAGCACCTTAGCCGCGGGACACCTCTTCTTCCAGCACCTTATCCGCGGGGAATCCTCATCTCCGGGCGTCTCTCTTTTCAGGACGTGGATATGTGATCCCATGGTTATCTATGCAAGCAGTGAGGCCATGCTAGGGTTGACACGGTCCTTCATGGGGGCCGTGTTCAGAGCCAGATCGGCGTAAGTCAGGAATGTTACATCTGAGCCTAATACTCACCAATCACCAATGTGTGTGTGTGTGTGTGTGTGTGTGTTTTTTTTTTTTTTTTTTTTTTTTGGCAAGGAGGAAACCTTCAAAAAGGCCATCGTGCCACCGCTTGACGACTGGGCGCACAGTCGCGGTGACACGGTGTGTGGGATTCTTACCGCACTAAAACCTCCTTAGACGCCTTGCCCTTTTCCCCCGGAACCACTTGTCGTATTACTTCGCTGCTCTTCTCTCCATTTACGCTGCAGCTCCGACATGATCTGCGTGACTGCCCTGCTGACGGCATTCCAATTGCCCTCCTCTCGACACAATTCAACGACGACATTCTCCACGTTAAGGACGGGCATCTCCGTTCGCACTGCCTCGAACCTTGAACAGTCGAAGACCACATGCTCCGGCGTTTCATCGACGTTGTCACACTCCGGACAGAGGGGTGACGCTGCGTGTTCGAACCGATGCAGGTATTTCCTGAAGCAGCCGTGGCCAAACAGGAACTGCGTTAGGTGGAAATTGACTTCTCCGTGTTTTCTGTTCACCCAGGTCGAAAGAATCGGTATTAGTCTATGTGTCCATCTACCGTTCTCCGTCGTGTTCCACTCCTGTTGCCACTTAGCCAATGACTCCACTCTCACAACTTTCCGTACTCTTTCGGCTTCTCTCCGCCTGTGGCACTCGCTGTCCTCCGCCAGGGTGATGCCGATAGGGATCATACCTGCGATAACGCATACTGCTTCTGACGAGATGGTTCTGTACGCACTCAGGATTCGCATGGCCATGAGCCGGAACGTACTGCTCAGTTTCCTTTGGTTCTGCTTCGTTTCCAGCGCTGGAACCCAGACTGGACCTCCGTATCTCAGTATCGATGATGACACGCTGGCCAGAAGACGCCTCTTGCTACTGCTAGGACCAGCGTTGTTTGGCATGATTCTAGTTTTCGCGTTGATGGCCTTCGAAGCCTTCTCACAGGCATATTCGACGTGGCTGTTGAAGATTAGCCGGTCATCGATCATCACTCCCAGGTATTTTAACACACGCTTCGAGGCTATGGTGTGCTCCCCGAAGGTGATTTCTGCCCGCTGTACCGCTTTACGGTTACTGACCAATAACACTTCCGTTTTGTGGTGGGCTATCTGCAGCTTCGCTCCTTGCATCCAGTTACCAATCATATCGATCGCCTTGGTTGATAACACTTCCACTTCTTCCAGCGTCTCGCTTGTTACCGTCAAGACGACGTCGTCCGCAAAGCCAACGATCTTAACTCCTTTGGGCAGTTTCAGCGTTAGCACGCCGTTGGACATCCCGTTCCAGAGCGTTGGACCAAGGATAGAGCCTTGTGGAACTCCCGCTGTGATCCTAATGGATTTCTGTCCCATGTCTGTCTCGTAGACCAGAACCCGGTTCTGGAAATAACTCCTCAGGATCCTGCACAGGTAGTCAGGGACCCTCATTCTATGCAGTGCTTCGGCGATGGCTTCCCAGCTGGCGCTGTTGAACGCATCGTTGACGTCGATCGTTATCACGGCGCAATATCGATCTCCTCTCCGCTTCTGTTTGGATGCCTTCTCAGCTCTCTCGACCACTGTCCGAATGGCATCCACCGTTGATCTCCCTTTCCGGAATCCGAACTGCCTCTCCGACAATCCGTGCTCACTCTCCGTGTATTTCGTCAGCCTGTTTAGGATGATCCTCTCCAAGAGTTTTCCGAGTGTATCCAGCAGGCATATAGGCCTGTACGATGCTGGATCCCCCGGCGGTTTTCCTGGTTTTGGCAGCAACACTAGCATCTATATCTTCCACCTGTCAGGGAAGTGACCCTCGTTCAGGCATTTCTGCAGCACCATCCTGAACATGTCCGGGGATGACTGGATCGCCGCTTTCAACGCTACGTTGGGGATTCCATCCGGACCGGGAGCTTTCTTCACCTTCAATCCTTTCGCCACTGCTACGAGTTCCTCGTTGGTGACTTCGACGCTATCTCCCTCTCCTTCTCCGTACGGTGTAGGTGGCCAGGTTGTTGCGTCGTGCTTCGGGAAAAATCCTTCCACGATGACTTTCAGCTTCTCTGGGCACATTTCAGTGGGCATCGTTGGTCCTCTGATCTTCGCCATCACGACTCGGTATGCGTCGCCCCAGGGGTTGGCATCAGCGACTCGACACAGCTCCTTAAAACAGTTCGGCTTGCTCTGCTTTATTACTCGTTTAAAAGTGGCCCTGGCCGCTCGAAACGCTTCTCTTCGTTCCTCTCTGTCTGCTTCCGTTCTTGCTCTCTGAACACGTCTTCTGGCTCTGGAACAACTTGCGCGGAGAGTGCTAAGTGCCTCGTTCCACCAGTAGACTGGACGCCATCTGTTATTTGGCTCCAGTTTCCTCGGCATGGTCGTGTCACATGCTATCACTAACATTTCTGTCAGCTCGTCCGCGTTTAGATATGTGGGACTCCTGTCCACACGAAGTGCCTCAACGAACAGATCCTTGTCGAAAGCCTTCGTCTTCCACTTCCGGTCACAAGTTCTCGTCCTCGATACTGCCACAGTATTCCGTTGGCCGATGCCATATCGTATCGCCTGATGGTCGCTATGGGTATTTCCTTCGCACACTCTCCAATCCATGTTTGCCATCAGCGACGGACTAAAGAAAGTAACGTCGATAATGGATTCCCGGCCATCCATGCGAAAAGTGCTGC